AAATTTCCCGGGCCCGAATTAAATAATTTAAATATGAAGCTCCCGAATTAAATATTCATATTTAAATCGTGGCCTTCATATTTAAATTATTTAAATCGGGCCCGGGAATTAAATAATTTAAATAATTTAAATAATTTAAATAATTTAAATATTTTAAATCCTGGAGGGGGGGGGCGGGCCTCCTCCCGCAGGAAGAATTAAATAATTTAAATATGAAGGCTCCGAATTAAATATTAATATTTAATTCGGGGCCTTCATATTTAAATTATTTAATTCCTCCTGCGGGAGGAGGCCCGCCCCCCCCCCTCCAGGATTTAAATTATTTAAATTATTTAAATTATTTAAATTATTTAATTCCCGGGCCCGAATTAAATAATTTAAATATGAAGCTCCAGAATTAAATATTCATATTTAAATCGGGGCCTTCATATTTAATTCAGGCCTGGGACCCCCCCTAGGACCTAAAATAGGGTCTATTTGGAAGTTGGCTCTTGTAAATAAGTATACGTTTTGGGGCCTTTTTTCCTCTTGTGAACACGAGTGCCAGCTTCCAAATAAACCCTATTTAAGCTGCACACGGGGGGGGGGGGTGGGGTGGCGTCAGAAGGGTTGGGTTAGGGGGAAGGAGGCCCGATCCGGGTCTGCTTGTTCCAGACGCTTCTCGGCAGGAAGCCGAGGCGAATTATACCCTGAACCCGAAACTAAACCCTAGGCCCCGAACCCCAAATCCTAAACCCTAAACCCCACACCCCAAACCCTAAGCCCCAAACCCCAGCCCTTTCCTTCTTTTAGGGTTGAAGGAGCGGCTCTTCTCTCTCAAGGGATGAAGACCCGTACCCCGAAGGTTGTACGCCTGAAGGTTTCCCTTAATATACTCCAATATGGCCCTTGTATTCCCTTCGGGATCCTTTAACCCTAAGCCCTAAGCCTAAGCCCTAAAGCCTAAAGCCTAAAGCCTAAAGCCTAAACCCTAAACCCTAAACCCGAAACCCCAAAGCCAGGGCACAACCTTAAGGGTCCAAGGTAGAACCCCTAGATTCTCTCGAGGCTTGATCAGCGGCAGCAACGACCGAAGCGTACGACTTTGGGACGCTGACGGCAGCTGCAAGACCTTTGAAGGCAGGGCAGCTTTGGTTTAAGGTTTAGGGTTCAGGGTCTAGGGTTTAGGGTTTAGGGTTTAGGGCTTACTTGGGGTTTAGTCCCGAAAGCCAGGAACCCGAACCCTGAAGCCCTGAACCCCAAAGCAATGGAGATGTGCCATGCGGGGTGAGCACAGCCCACGCAAGCCTACACAGAGAGCCAAAGGCAATATTGTGGCCTTCAGCACGAGGAGAACAATCTGCAACTCTGGTGCTTGGGGTTTAGGTTTGAGGGCCCTATCGGCCGTAAACCTTTAAATTCCCACCCACGTTGCTGTCCCCACCTATTACACGGGTTTCGGGTTTAGGGTGCAAGGGTTGAACCTCTCATTCGCCCCCCCAAACAAGATGAATAAATACTCCACACCCCAGCTCGAAAACTCTCGGTGGCTCTGGGTGACTCTGTGTAACGCAGGGGGGTTAAAAGAAATTGCCAGAAGCCCCTTTTATCCTCGATGGGCGCACCACTATTTAGGCGAAGAACCTTACTTTCAATGCCGTGCAAGCAATCTGTCCCTAAACCTAAACCCTTTGTTGGGTTTTCGGGTTCTTGCTCGTGCTGGGGAGGCCACGCGGGCGCCGTTTGTTGCGTCGGCGCCTTCTCGACGATGGCCGCCAGCGGCTCCAAAGACAAGACTGTGAAGGCAGCGCCTCGTGGTACTTGTGGGTTGGGTTTCTAGGGCTTCGGGCTTAAGGCAGGGCTTAGGGGTTTAGGGAGTTTCAGGGGCTGAAGGGTTTAGGGGGTGGCTTAGGGCTTGAGGGCTTCAGGGTGTAGGGGTTGAGTTGAGAGCTGAAGGGTTGAGGGGTTTGGGGGTTTAGGGCTTGAGGGCTTTAGGGTTGAGGGTTTGGGGGTTTAGGGCTCTGCGTTTTGGTTCAGAGTAATGTTCTCACGGGTAGTGACAGGTAGGATAACATCAAGGATGACAAGCCCTAAACCCTAAACCCTAAACCCGAACCCCGAACGTTACTGCGAACCTAAGAATCTCCCCAACCCTGAGCCCTTGAGGGTTTAGAGAGCCCCCAAACCCAGGTATGGGACCTTGCGGATGGCCGCTGCCTGGCCACACTGACGCTTGCCAGAAAGGATGAGCCCACGATAAAGCCAACGAAGAAACAGGCTTCGGGGCTGTAGGGCGTTTAGCGTTAATTTTTTCTTTTTATTCATACTTGGTTTTTAGTGTTTTTGTGTGTTTTCGGAGGAACTGGGGTCTTAGGGCGTTTCGGGCTTCAGGTTTTTGTGTAGGATTTCAGGTTTAGTGCTTTTAGGGTTTAAGGATTTTCTTTCGTTTATATGCTATATGGTTTGAGGGTTCGAGGGCAGGGTTTACATATAGTCCGGCCCTCTTATGGTGTATAGAATTCAGGGTCTGTGGTGGGATTCGGTCTCGGGGGCAGAGTCTGAAACTCCAAAGCCGCTGAGCCTTGAATCCCGTTTGAGATAGGGTTTAGGGTTTAGGGTTTCGGGTTGCGGGTTTCGGGTATTAGGGTCGGATTTTTTTGTGTCCTTAAGGGAGGGAGGTTCCAGGGGCGTATGTAACCCAAGATCACCCAGTACTTCCCACGACTCCATGAGGCTCCCCAAGGTTCCCTAAGGTTCCCGAGACATCCCTTAAGAACCCTATAACAGAGGGCTCGGGGTTTGAGGGTTATTGAACCCTTTCTCTTGTGATCCCAAGAGGCTCAAGGAAATTCGAAACCCCAAACCGAACCCTCCGCCCTAAACCCTAAACCCCTAGACCCTCAACCCTCAACCCAACCACCTGCAAACCCTGTTTTGAGGGATGCCAGCGATTCCGGGAAGGACTTGGCGGGTGTAAGGGTTTACGGATCCGACGCCTTAAGCCTTAAGCCCGAAACCCCAAACCCCGACCCCCGAACCCCAAACCCTAAACCCTAAACCCTAGACCCTAAACCCTAAACCGTATAAACCCTAAACCCTGAACCCTGAACCCTAAACCCTAACCCCGAAGCCCTTTGCCGAGGGTAGGGCACCGTTCCTACGTCCGTGCCGTCGCATGCCTGCGGTGCCGCCCTCAGTCGCCTCCTGAACCCCTCAAACCCGAAGTTTGGAGCCCTCAAAGACCCACACGAAAGCATTGAGGATGTCGGATGTTTAGGGTCCCCGAAAGCCTAAACCCGAAGCCTTAATCCTAAACCCTAAACCCAGAATCTAAACCCTAAGCCCTAAGCCCTAAACCCTAAACCCTAAACCCGAAACCCTAAACCCTACACCCTAAACCCATGTTTAGGGTTTAGGGTTTAGGGTTTAGGGTTTAGGGTTCAGGGTTTAGGGGCTAAAGTAGTTCTTCTTTTGCGTCTCATGGTTTTGAGTGTTTTTCCTCATGTTTTTGTTCTCTTCCGTTCTCTTCTTCTTATCCTTCTTTCCCAACCCTAAACCCGAAGCTCTATTGCGACTTCCTCCCAGCTTATCGGGCCTTAGCCCTACACCCTAAACCCCAAACCCTAGAACCAAGCCCCTTGAAAGAAACTTGAAATTCAAGGCACCCCCCCTGCACTACCGGCTCGGGTGTTAGGGTTTACCGTTCAGGGTGCTGCATTGGCCAGGAAGTTAAACCCCTGAGCTTGGCCCAACGGAACCCTACGTTAGACCTAAGCCCAAAACCCCAAACCCTAAACCCTAACCTCTTCAAGTGAGAAACCCATATGGCAGTCGCACCCCCGCAAAAATCCAGACCCTTTCCTAGACCCCAACGTAAACCCTACAGCCCAAACCCTCAACCCCAGACCTCAATCGACTAAACCCTAAGCCCTAAGCCCTAAACCCGAAACCCGAAACCCTAAACCCTACCAAGCCTAAAGGAGCCTTGGATGGGTGGCCAGCGGCTCCTCGGACCGGAGCGCCCGCATCTGGGACGTGGCTGCTGGGCACTGCCTGGCCGTGCTGGAAGGTGTGTAGGGTTTAGGGTTTCCATAAAACGTCTTCATTCCGTCACGGTGGTCGCCAGCCTGGTTCGAAACCCTAAACCCTAAACCCTAAACCCTAAACCCTAAACCCTAAACCCTAAACCCTAAACCCTAAACCCTAAAATGCAGGTTCACGGGGCTCAGAGGGCCAGGTCCAGGGTGGCAGGGGGGCCGGGCCCAGGGAGGCCCAGAGAAACCAGGGGCCCAGAAGGCCCGAACCCAAAAAACTCAAAAACACCCACCCCGCCTGAGCCATCGAGGCTGAGGGGCTTAGGCGCTAGGCCTTGAGTTTAGGGTCCGGGAGCAGGAAGATAGGCAGGACCAGTGCTCGTAGCTCTGCCGCCTTATATGATCATTATTCTGAGCAGTATTGCCCTATTGTGGTTATTCTTGTCTTATGAATTGTCATTATCACTTTGTTTTTTTTACCTATACAATGACAATCGTGCCTGTGTCCTGGGGCGCGTGTACAACGTAGCCTTTTGCGCCGAAGTTATGTGCCAACGCTCACCGCATCAAAATGGCCGCGAGTGAAGGCTTGTGTTAAGGATCGTATTGAGGGTCAAGCTCTCGAGGTTGGTCAATAGTCTAGGACCAGGAATGAGCCCTTATTCCCTGTTTTTAGGGTTTAGGTTCCCTTATATCCCCTGGGGTACCCTTTTTATAACTAGGTTAGTCTTGGGTCCATAGTCTACAATGGCTTCTGCTGTCAAGGCCAGCCGCACCATGAGCCATTGGTTTCCATGGTTTAGGGTTTAGGGTGTAGGGTTTAGGGTTTATTCTTGTTCTCTTTGCGAATCGCCAGCTCTTGCGCCATGGGAAATCGTGCCTGCAGCGTTGGCTGTGCCGACTCGCATGCGAACTTCCGGTACAGTGCAGTTCACGAAAGGCTCTACCCGATGTATGTGGTAAAGGTCTCGGACTTCTTGATGATGGATGGACCCGTTCCATCGCATGGCAAGTTGCAAGAAAACACCTTGCTACATGAATCTAGAGTACCCCGGCATGTTTGCCATTTTCGTCTCTCACCAGTGGCTGAGTCGAGGGCATCCGGATCCTCATGGACAGCAGACAGTTGCTAGGAAAGCTTCAGTGTAGGGGCCAGGCATTCCCCCTTTTGTTCTCGGAGATTAAGTTCTCTTATCTAAGCCACCCGACACCCCCTAAACCCTAAACCCTAAACCCTAAACCCTAAACCCTAAACCCTAAACCCTAAACCCTAAACCCTAAACCCTAAACCCTAAACCCTAAACCCTAAACCCTCAACCCTAAACCCTAAACCGTCGGCCATTGGGCCACTTGGGCTTTCAGGAAGTTCTTCGCAATGCTCTTCAAGCTCTGATCCACGGTTCTCTTCATGTGGAGCCCCACACTCCAGGCATGCTTTATTATGATTTCGCGTTCGAATCTGGGGCTGATGTGGGCAAATTGAAGTTCCACAGGCCCTAACCCCTTGTGAAGCCTTGTAATTCCTCATTTAACCCTTTTAATTAGAAACTTGATTTTGATTCCCCCCCCCCCATCCCAATCTACACTAGGAATGGGACTCCTCCATGACTGCTAACGTGGCGAATGGCTATCTTTTCTTTGACTGGTTTGCCATTCCGCAGCTCACGGCCCGCCAAGAAGGAGTCAATGAAGAGGTCACAAAGTCAGACGCAGCCAGAGCTGTACAATCCATTCCTGCATACGTGGAGGCTTGCAGCCTATTTCTCGCCTTGGTGCCGGAACTGAAGCACGCTGACACAGGTGCCATTTGCAACTACACCTCTTGGCTTTCCAGAGGCGGGACAGGTCCAAAGACAGGGTTTAGGAGGGTTTAAGCTGCCAGGGACCAGGTGGCTGGCTACGTTGGCAAGGAAGTTGAACTTTTTTGGCAACTTTGAGCACTAACCGACCCGGTCTAGGTTTCAGGGTTCAGGGTTTAGGGTACCCCTACTCCAAGAACCTTTCAGTCTGCTGGCCTCATAGGCGCAAAAGGCGAAAGACTCAACTCAGTAGGGGCTCCAGAAGGGGGAGCTCAACCCAAACCCTGAAACACAAAGGGTTTAGGGTTTAGGGTTTAGGGTTTAGGGTTGAAAGGACCCAAAAGCCCGAACCCTTAAATCCTTCAGTCCTTCCCAGGTTGGTGCAGAGCAGAGCTTTGGTTGTGGCTCCTGTCCAACCGCCTGGATAACAATGTTGTTGTGATCTACTCTGCCACGGAGTGCCTTGGGATGAACCCTAAACCCTAAACCCTAATCCCTAAACCCTAAACCCTAAACCCTAAACCCTAAACCCCAAACCCTAAACCAGGCATAAGTGTTGAGAGTTTGCTCCCGAACGACAGAAGGTTGGAATCAGTTTCCTATTGCGGGAGGGCAGTGTCAACACTTATACACCCCCTAACGCTAAACTGCTAAGCCCATACACGCTTTTAGACCCTATTGCCCAATCCTTAAAGCTTAAAACAACAACAAGCAACAACACACACACAGCAACAACTACAAGCAACAACAAACAACAACAAACAACAACAAACAACAACAAACAACAACAAACAACAACAAACAACAACAAACAACAACAAACAACAAACACCAAACACCAACAAACAACATAAAGCAACAACAAGCAACGACAAGCAAAAACAAGCAACAACAAGCAACACTTGCTAGCCCAGTAACCGTATCATGAGAAGGGTGCCCTTTTTGGGTTGCTTAGTTTATAAGGGAACCCTGAACCAAAAACTGGGAAAAGGGTAGCAACAACAAGCAACATCAAAGAACAACAAACAACAATCGTATAGCAGTTCATGTTGTAGATTAAGGCTAGAACTGAAGATGGCCCATTTAAGCATGCGGATTCATTCACATTAGAGTGGAGAACGATCCCAGAACCCAGACACCTGCAACTCAAAGTTTCTGATCTTCAGATGTTCTGGCAAAGCCAGCTCGGACTGGTATGGGTGCTGACTATGTTTTTGGTTCATGAGCCACGTGTTATTCTTCGACTTTTCCAGAATTCCAGGGAGTCGATGCTCGGAGGAGCCTGGGTTTAGGGTTTAGGGTTTAGGCTTTAGGCTTTAGGCTTTAGGGTTTAGGCTTTAGGGTTTAGGGTTTAGGGTTTAGGCTTTAGGTGTTTTTTATCGTTTTTGGGACGGTTTCTGCCTTCAGTGTCTGGCTGCCCTGGCTTGACAGCCCTTGACATTGGCCGTCGCGACGCTGCAATGTCCGGAAGTGTTGCAATCCGCCGGGGCTGTCGGAAATTAAGTGTTTTGCTGTCAAAACGCTGTCGAAAATAAGTGTTGCAGCCTGCCCCGTTTTTGAAAAATCGATTCCGACAGGAAATGTTGTCGAACTCGACGTCTTTTCTTGTCAAACGCGGCCATTGGTGTCAACCGGCTGTCGTTCGACAACAAAAGTTGTCGAACTCGACGTCTTTTGTTGTCAAACGGGCTGGGACATCGTACTGCGTGCCGCGTGCCCCACCCACCTGGAGAAAAAAACCACACAATAACCACCAGGGTTACCGCTGCGATCCGCATGGAGGGCCCACCATCTTTAGAAGATAGAAAAGGTTCCTGAGGGTTTTCATGTTCCTGAGAAGATGGCAAGAAAAAAGTCGCGAGGGCTATCGCCCCGCCCCCCCGGCCCCCCTTTTGGAAGATAGCAAAGGTTCGCGAGGGCTATTCTCCCTGAGAAGATAGCAAAACAAAAGCTGCCTTTCCGCCAGGGTGTGGGGAAACGCCGGCTCACTCACTCACAATCACGGGAGCCTACCTAGGGGATCCGCTTTGCCGCTTGCTTTGGCATTGGCACCAGCACCCGTGCCTGTGTTTTGCGCATTTGGCCAAAAAGGACGCATTTTTCTTGCACATGTCATGCATAGGCCTCCTGCCTTTCAACAGGCGGTCACAACACTTGTAGAGCCCATTGCCAAACAAACAAAACTGCAACACTTCTGTAAACCTTAACCCCAGGGCCCACGAAAGTTGACACCTTGGGATTGGGGGTATCAATGTAGTCATCACCTGAGGTGTGAGTTTATGTTTCAGTATGACTGGCAGCACAACAACATTGCCAGCGGTGACTTCACTGTGCCTTCAGACCGGGCCATTGTTTGTCAACTTGGGGAAACAGCGGCAGCTGGGAAGCTCAAGCACCTGCAGATAGGTGGCCCGGTTGATGCTTATCGATATTTCGCTGCTCACAAGCACAAGCTCTTAGGACTCCAGCCTTTATGCTCGGATGTGGATGACTTCCTCACCCTCTTCCAGTTCGGAAGTTTGGAAGCTGCGGCCAGCAATCATACCGGCATGACTGGACTGCTTTGTGCAGTGTATGCTGGTCACGTACAGCTTCTACGTTTGCTTGTAGAAAGCAGGGCGGATGTGAATCAACGAGTTCGCGGTTTAGGTGAGTTTGGGTTCTACGACAGCATGACGCCATTGATCATCGCAACGCGATCAAACCAGGGCCCAGACATCCTGCACGGGCTCATTGAACTTGGTGCAGATGCGGCTTGCTGGTTTTCAGTTGGGGATTAGACAGGGACTCGCTACGATCCCGTAAACGGGCCGTATAGGGGTGGAGGGGGGTTATAGGCCGCTTACTTCCCGAACGCTCTGAGAGCCACTAAGGTGGATGCAAGAGTCCAGCAATCAGGAATCAGTGCTGCTGGCTTGGTGCGATCCCCAGAACAAGTGCAGGTGTTGTCTCACGCACGGGCAGACTTTCAGTCGTGCAGCGAGCCTTTAGGCTTTTGCCCCCTGACAAGTGCCGCTGGTTTTGCAAACCATGAAACCATTGCCAGCTTGCTAGCAGCCAGGTGTAATGTGAACCCTCAGCTGCAGGGCATCGGCTGTGGGCCTTTGCATGCTGTCGCATTGTTTTCACGTGGGAAGACAGATGCTTTGAAAAAAGCACAGCTGCTTCTTTCTTCAAGAGCTGACCTTGATCTGCGTGCAAGCCCATCAGGGTGGTATGGTTGGCTGTGCCAAAAGGCGCAAATGGAAAGCAATGTTTGGGGCTTGGAAGCATGTAAAGCAAAGGCCCGATAATTACTTAGCCAGCTTACCCGGAGTTACACCTTTGGGAGTGGCAGCTTTGGTGGGTGATGAAAGCTTGGTGGAGATGCTGCTGGAGTGTGGCGCCGAGATTCTTGCAAACGATCGCGGTGATTTGCCTGAAGCGCTCGCTGCCACGCATCGACATGTGCGTGTGCTCAGAGCCGTGTCACTGGAAAGTGTTTAATTGCAGTTCTTAATGTCAAGTGGTGTGGTTCCTTTGCTTTTAAGCAAAAGGTGGCAGCGCCGACCTGACAGCCCCCTTTGGCCAAAAGGGGCCAAGAGGTTTCTTCGATGACAATTCTCGAGTGGGTCGGGATCTCTACAGCCTGGACAAGTGATTAAGTGGGATAGATTCCCTCAAGCGTACTTCCTTCATATTTTTGTCGGTGGCTTGCCTCTGCTGAAATTTCGCAAAAGTCTAAAATGTACATAGATGTCGGGTAAATCCTGAAGCCCTAAACCCTAAAGCCCTGAAACCCTAAAACCCTAAAAGCCAGCCCAAAACCTTAGAAGCCCGAAACTATGAAGAGGTTTAGGGTTTGTGGCTTGATGCTGCGTGGGGCCTTGGGTGGGTAGGGTTTGGGGTTTGGGGTTTGGGGTTTGGGGTTTGGGGTTTGGGGTTCGGGGTTTGGGGTTTGGCAGAGCGGGGGGCGCTTTGAGGTTTAGGGGCTTAGGCTTTAGGAATTAGGATGTAGCAGAAGGCTTTTTGAGGGTTTGAAAGTCAGGTCTACACTAACTGCATGAGCCTCAAAAACAACTTGAAAGGCTTGTTGCCCGCGTGTGGTAGGACGCACCCTTCAACCTTAAACCCAATACCCTGAGCCCTAGACCCTAAACCCTCAGCCCTAAACCCTAAACCCTAAACCCTACACCCTAAACCCTAAACCCTAACCCTAAACTCTAAACCCTAAACCCTATAAACCCTAAACCCTATAAACCCTAAACCCTGAACCCTGAACCCTGAACCCTGAACCCGAAACCCGAAACCCCGAAACCCGAACCCTAAACCCTAAACAGGCCACAGTGACTCGATCACCTGCCTCGTGGCCTTTGGGGAGAAGCTGGTAACGGGGTCCGACGACACGACCATCAAAGTGTGGCCGCTGCGGCCGATGCCCTCTTAGAGGCACTTGGGGTGACATGCGTGTTTGGATTTAGGGTTTAGGGTTTTGGGTTTAGGGTTTAGGGTTCATAGAAATTGTATAAGGTTTGGGTCCCAAAAAGTTTTGACCGAAAGTTTTGACCGAAAGCTTTGACCGAAATGTTTTGACCGAAATGTTTTGTTTTTTTGGAACTAATTTTTCATTTTTGGGAGGGGGGGGGAGGGGAGGGGGGGGGGGGGCGGCAAGCAAGGGGGGCCAATTTTGGGCTTTGGAGCCAATTTTGGGCTTTAGGGCCAATTTTGGGCTTTGGAACCACTTGGGGAGGCAATTTTAGGCTTTGGAAACAATTTTGGGCTTTGCGGGGCTAATTTTAGGCTTTGGAGTCAATTTTGGGCTCGAGGAGGCCATTTTTGGGGCAAATTTTGGCAATTTTACTGAGCCAATTTTGGGCTCCGGGACCCAATTTTGGGCTCCGAAGCCCTAAATTTTTGGGCTTTAGGAAGCAAAATTTTGGGCTTTACGGGCCCATTCTGGCCCAATTTTGGGCTTTGGGAAGCAATTTGGGGTTTGGGAGCCAATTTCTGGTTTTGGAAAGCACAATTTTTGGGCTTCGCCAATTTTGGGCTTTGGATGCCAAGTTTGAGCGCTTTGGGAGCCAGGAGCCAATTTACCTGTTTTGGGCTTTGAGAGCCTTGGAGGGGTTTTGGGGGGTTGGGTGGGTTTTGGGGGGGTTTGGGGGGCTTTGGATGGGTTTCGGGTGGGTTTTGGTGAGGTTTTGGTGGGTTTTGGGTGGGTTTGGGGGGGTTTCGGGGGGTTTTGGGGGGCTTCGGGAAGGCTTCGGCATGGGTTTTGGGGGGTTTGGGGGGGTTGGGGGGTTTTGGGAGGGTTGGGGGTTGGGGGTTTTGGGGGGGGGTTTTGGGTGGGGTTTTGGGGGGTTTGGGGGGTTTTGGGGGGGTTTGGGGGGGGTTTGGGGGGGTTTTGGGGGTTTTTGGGGGGGTTTGGGGGGTTGGGGGGGGTTTTGGGGGGGTTTTGGGGGGGTTTTGGGGGGGTTTTGGGGGGTTTTGGGGGGGTTTGGGGGGGGGGTTTTGGGGGCGGTTTGGGGGTTTTGGGGCGGGTTTTGGGGTTTGTGGGGGGGGGGGGGTTTGGGGCCCTCGCGCGGTCTAATCTGGGACCTCTCGTTGGAACGAGTTTCGGGCCCCATTTGTGGGCTTGACGTGTAGCCTAAGTTGGCCCCAGAGGTTTAAGTAAATTGAGCATTTGGTCTCCCAGGCGCTTTGGGTTAATTTACTTAAACTCTGTATGTCAGCTGTTTAGACAAATATCTTGAAAATTCAGAATGATACCGCATACAATTTCTATTTATTTTGGGTTTAGGGTTTAGGGTTTAGGGTTTAGGGTTTAGGGTTTAGGGTTTAGGGTTTAGGGTTTAGGGTTTAGGGTTTAGGGTTTAGGGTTTAGGGTTTAGGGTTTAGGGAACTCCAAACCCTGAACCTTTACAGCTCAAGCTTTCCCCCAAGTGGGGTTCTTGGGGTTCTTAGGGTTCTTGGGGATTTTCGGGCTTTTAGGGTTTAGGATTCAGGCATGGGGTTCTTGGGGTTTAGGGTTTACGTCTCCGTGGTTTTAGGGTTTATAGCAGAGGTTTTATCGTGGTTATGGGGTTTATAGGGTTTCGAAAAAGCGTTTTCCTTTGCTCGACTGTATCTTCCAAGGCTCTCTGTCGCATCACAAAGGTGCCTTCTCCCCTGCCCTAAACGCTAAACCCTAAACCCTACACCCTAAACCCTAAACCCTAAATCCCTAAACCCTAAATCCTAAACCCCAAACCCTAAACCCGCAGAGGAGTGTGGCCGCTGGACATGTGCCCGCCAGCTCCCGGGGGCCCCTTGTACAGTAAGCTCTTGCAGTCTGGGGGTTTAGGGTTTAGGGTTATGGGTTATGGGTTTTGGAGGTTTTGGAGGTTTCTTTTTTTTTTTTTGGGGGGGGGGGGGGGGTTGGGTGTTATAGTTTTTTTTTCGGGGGGGGGGGGGGGGGGGGTCGGGTGTTATGGGTTTTGGAGGGTCTTGAGGATTGAGGGGTTATGGGGTTTTGGAGGGCTTTGAGGTTTAGGGGTTGGGGCTTAGGGTGGTGGGGGGTTTAGGGTTGAGGGTTTAGGGCTTTTGGGGTGTTTATGGGTTGCAGCTTTTGGGATTTTGGGGTTTAGGGTTTTGGGGTTTGGCGGTTTAGGGTTTGGGGATGAGGGCTTGGGGTTGAGGGTTTTGGGTTGAGGGCCTCGTGTTGATGGTTTTGGGGTTAAGGGATTTTGAGTTTGAGGGTTGTAGGGATTGGTTTCTTTTCGGTTTAGGGCTCATGGATGGTGGCTCTTTAGGGTTTGGGTTGTTGAGGGCGTTTGTTTGAAGGTTTGGGGGCGAGGGTGTTGCAGCTACAGGTCCCTTAAAGAGTTTACATAGCCCCCTGCAAGCGACCCTAGTTCCCTGCCGAGAACCAGCATATGTGAGGGAGCTTGGGATGCTTCCCCCTTATATCAACAGCTCCTTAATTAGTAGGGATTCGAATAGGGGGGGGGGGGGGGGGGGGTGTACTGTAATCCCTATTAAAGTTATTAAGGATTGTTAGTGTACGGGGGGGAACATCCCAGATAGAGCCAACGATTGTCGCGCGCCGCCGCTGAACGGCTTGGTTTTCAAGCCAGTGGCTCAGGCCGGTCGTTCTTTGCGAAACGCCATCTAGGTTGGCCCTCCTCGAACATCTCAAGACACGTTTGAGCTCCACTTGATCTTCCTCTTTGTCTGCAGCTTTCGGCGTACTCGGGGGTGTTCCCGAGTGCTTGTTTAGGAACATTGTTCAGGAGGGCATAAAAGGGCCAGCCTAGACCATGCTCCATGCGCTCCTCGCCGTCTTCGCTGCCACCCATTGGGCCAGCGCTGTCCGGGAGTTACAGTTGGCGTCGCAGGGGGCATCGCAACTTTCTTCGAACGAGGCTTTCTGCTGCTTAGTCTTCCGACAGGGTCTCTTTTCCTTTTGTGGTTCTTGGCTTCGGGGCCTAAGCCCTACGCATCCCTAAACATTCCTTCAGCCCTAGCCCTAAACCCTACACCCTAAACCTTAAACCCTAACCCCTAAACCCTAAACCCTCAACACCCCTTAGTATGGGCTTTCCAAGGCCGGAAGACTGTGGGACAAGTCACCGTCTATGTGAACTCCTGGGGTCGTCAGCAGAGCGCCAAGGTCAGGGCAGTCTCAACATGGCCTGGATGTGTGTACACAGTAGAAGCTGGGACCTGCGGTTTAGAGTTTAGGGTTTAGGGTTTAGGGGGTTTAGGGTTTAGGGTTTTGGGGTTTTGGGGTTTAGGGGTTGGGGGTTTAGGGGTTTAGGGGTTTGGGGGTTTCGGGGTTTAGGGGTTTAGGGGTTTCGGGGTTTAGGGGTCTAGGGGTTTAGGGGTTTAGGGGTTTAGGGGTTGAGGGTTTAGGGTTTAGGGAGTTTTCCTTCGGTCTTCTTGCGGCAAAACGCTCTACCAACGTCACCGTGACTTTGAGCGTCAGTCAAGGAACTCTGTGACGGAAGCACACGTCAGGCGGAGTATCAGTCTGGCTGTGGGAAGGACAGAAAGGGCAGCTGCATCAGCGATGGCGATGCAGAAGGCTATCCCGTTGACGAGCTGCCGAAAGAAGATGGAGGTGTTATCTACAAAGATGCCAAGGGACTGGACTCTCGGCCCCTCATGTGCCGCATCGTGTTGCGCGTATCTGTGAGGGCTGATCTGAGCTGTCGGCCATTGGTCTAGGGTTTGGGGTTTGCAAGAAAAGCCGTTTTTAAGGTATGATTCTCTTTTCGAGGGTTATGGCTGAGGAATGGGTGGCCACCATCGAACGTGCTGGAGTGTTCCCCCA